TCTGTAATTATTTTTATTTTGGGCCCTTATTTGTAATTATTTTCAAATTTGGGCCCTTATTTGTAATTTCCCCTAAAAATTATGATTTGTCACATGCATAATTTGGCTACCTTCGCATCATAATCCTGGACACCCTAGCGCTAGTGTCCGTAGACTTTCCCGTTTGGAAATCCCCCTACATCAGCTGATTTCTGCCCAACTTTTCAGAATCATGCCCGGTTGATAATTTTTCGGCTCGGCTTATCGGTTGGACGGTTATTTGGATCAGATGTTGAAGTCATCACTATGCTGCTAGTCGAAAATAAAATAAAGATCATAACAGGCTATTACATAACCTTATGTAAAATTTAATGTTTATATATACATTTCTTAATCATTTTGCCCTAATATTTTGCTTAATGACGTTTATCTTGCACAAATAAAGATTAGTAACAATAAATTGCGTTGAATAAATAATTTTATTTACAAAAAATTATTAATTGTAATAATAACGAGACATTTTATTTGTAAAGCGTATGTTTATACATGATCAATATGAATTCTAACATTATTCGTGTTCAATGACTTTGGTAACTTTACCGATGGCAATTGTTTTTCCTAATTAAAAAAACGAACAAAAGCATGAATTGATTGATATTAAAAAAATTTATAATGCAGAAACAAATAACAATATAGTATAGAAACGAACCTTCGTCTCGGAGTGTAAATCTTCCTAATTGTGGATATTCTTCAAATATTTCAACGCAAATTGGGCCCTGAGTTTCGAGCCTTGCAATAACTTTTTGACCTTTTTTAACATATTGCGGAGGCCTCTTTGACTTTCTTCCAGTCTTCTTGTCAATAAGATGTAAAAGTGCCTGCAAAAACAAAATGCCCCTCAATATAAACGATAAAAGAACTTTCATAACAGCAAAACAAATATAAAGGCGTAATTTATTTTAATCTCACCGCGATTGATATCTCCTCTACACAAGAATGAATATGAAGAACTGCACTATATCCGGCACAAATAATATTTTTATGTTCCAGGATAGCAAGTTGTGCTTCAAACATGGTTGTAGTCTTTACCGGTCGTTTAATCGAACAAACTACAAATCCAGTTGAAATTTCTTCCTCTTCAATACCACGCACACGAAGTCGGATATTGTCTCCACAAGCACCAATAGTCACTTCATCCTCGACTTCATTATAAACAGCGGACACTTCAACAGTTCGCTGGTGAAATCAATTGTATGAGACCGTAATAATTAAATCAACAAACCATTATCCAATAATATAGGCAAGCGTGTACCTTGTTTGGCATGACTAATACAGATTGACCTTTCTTAACAGTGCCTGATTCCACCTTACCAACGAGAATCGTGCCCATATCCTTTATAATTACAAACTTATTAATATCACATTCAAAAGCTGAAGTCCAACAATTAATTTTTCATAAATTTACTTTATATTTCTCGGTAATTGGCATCATTAATGGGGCATTTAAGTTTCGATCCAAAGCTTTCATATTATCCAAATATTCTAGCAATGATGGCCCACTAAATAAGTAACGAAACGATGTCAAATAACATGTATTGTTAAGAACCTCAACCCTAGTAATGTTCTTACCTATACCACTTGCACACATTATTAGATACACGGTCCTTAAGATTCGCTCCCGTGAACGCAGACACTGGCATGAATTCAATATCTGCGTAGAACATTAAAAACAAAATAGATCAGTTTATTATGTTTCAGACGAAACATCTTTTAATACATTATATACCTGTCGTAGGATTATATCCACTTGATTTTAAAAATGGCGTAAGCTTAGTAACGCATTCATCATATCTACGTTTGGTGTATTAAAAAATTTAAGATATATTATATATAAATTGTTAACTATCGTGTCTTATTATCACCAAACTACCTCTCCTTAGACCAATTGACAGTAGGATCATCCATTTTGTTGATGACTATCACTAGCTTGTTGACTCCGGAAGTTTTTGCAAGAACAGTGTGTTCACGTGTCTGACCACCTCTTTCAAATCCAGTTTCAAATTCACCTTTTCTTGCAGATATGACCTAAAAATATATATGAAAAATAAAATTGAATTATTTAATTTAAAATGTCTTCAAGCCAAATTTTAATTGAAGCACATTGAAATCACATGCCATAATTCCAACATCCGCTTGGGATGCGCCACCAATCATACTAGGTACATAGTTTTTGTGTCCAGGAGCATCTAGAATTGTATAACGTCGCTTCTCTGTTTCGAAATATGCACGACCACATTCGACGGTTTTTCCCTATATATGATATCGATAAATGAATATATCGATCATTAGACTTTATGCTAATTTTAAGAATTCACAACTCACCTTTGCTCTCTCTTCCTTTGAAGTATCAAGAGCCCATGATAAATACCAAGACTCTCGATTTTGTTCCTTTGCCTCTTTTTCATATTTTTCCATGGTTCTTTGATCAACCATTCCCGTCAAATATCTAAAAAAGAATAAATAAATGATAAAATTATATGAAAAAAAATTTATCCAACCAATTTTATTAAATTACTCACAAAATATTTCCACCCATAGT